TCCACCACTCATCTATCAGACTGTTGTATTGTAGTGGGTTGTGGATTGTTGTGAGGCTGGAAACTATGCCATGAGTATTTTAAGTACCAGCAGGGTCCCCTTTGGTGAACAGTTTTCAGAGGAACTTCCAGACTAAGACTGGGAACAATAGGCTATTCACTTCTGAAAAAATTGGCCAATGAAGTCTTATCAATATCAGCTGTCAGATATATTACTAGAAAACTTCATGAATAGCAGTGGAACATTGTCTGTCATAGTGCCAGAAGAAGAGCCCCTCAGGTTGGAAGGAACTCAGAATATGACTAGGGAAGAATGCTTTCTCAATGTTGAGTCAACTTTAATGACATGGATGAAGTAAACTTTCAGGATGTTCATTTTCTGATGGGGCACTACTCAAAATGAGAAGAAACTACTGTAAATGTTTATTAATATTTGGAATGTGGAATGTATGAAGTATGAATACAGGAAAATTTGAAGTTGTCAAAGATGGAATGGAATGCATAAAGACCAGTATCTTAGGAACTAATGAGATGAAATGGACAAATATCAGCCATGTTTAATCAGACAATCATAGCCTACTATGACAGGAGTGACAAATTGAAGAGGAATGGCATTGCATTCATCACCAAAAAGAACTCTCAAGATCCATATTGACGTACAATGCTGTCAGTGATAGGATGATATTAATACACCTGCAAGGAAGACCAGTTAATACAGTTATTATTCAAATTACTCACCAAGCACTAAAGTCAAAGATAAAGGAATTGAAGATTTTTGTCAACTTCTGCTGTCTGAAATTAACCAAACATGTTATCAAAATGTATTTATTTATTTCTGGTGATAGGAATGTGAAAGTTAGAAACAAAGAGTAATCATTAGTTGGAAAATATGGCCTTGGTGATAGAAATGAAGCTAGAGATCACATGATAAAATTTTGCAAGACCAACGACTTATTCATTGCATATAATATTTTCAATGACACAAATGGCAGCTATATATGTGGATCTTAAGAAATGGAATAAACCTTAGTCAAATCAATTACATCTGTGGGAAGAGGTGATGAAGAAGCTCAATATCTTCAACCAAAGGAGGCTAAGAGCTGACTGTAGAATAGACATCAGTTACTCATAAGCAAGTTCAACTTGAAGGTGAAGAAAATTAAAACAAGTCCACAAGAGCCAAAATATGACTAGCATTATATCTCACCTGAATTTAGAGACAATCTGAAGAATAGATTTGACACATGGAACACCAATGACCCAAGACCAGAGAAGTTGTTGGATGACATGAAGTATATCATACATGGCAAAAGCAAAAGACATTAAAAAGACAAGAAATGAGGGAAAGACCAAAACAGATGTCAGAAAAAGCTCTGAAACTTGCTGTTGATCCTAGAGTAGCTAAATAGAATGGAAGAAATTATGAAATAAAAGAGTTGAACAGAAAATTTCAAAGGACAGCTTGAGAAGACAAAGTAAAATATTGTAATGAAATATGCAAAACCTTGAGTTAGAAAACTGAAAGGGAAGACAGACTTCATTTCTTAAGCTTGAAAGAGCTAAAGTAAAAACTCCAGCTTTGAATTGCAGTATTGGATTTTATGGGCAAAATATTGAATGATGCAGAAAGCATCAAAAGAAAATGGAAGGAACACACAATCACTGTACTAAAAAATAACACAACACACAACTTGATCAACTTTCAGATATTACAAGAAGTGGCATATGACCAAGAACCAATGGTATTGAGGAAGAAGTCCAAGCTGCACTGAAAGAATGGACTAAGAACAAGGCTCCAGGAATTGATGGAATACCCATTGAGTTGTGTCAACAAACAGATGTATCTCTAGAGGCACTTATTCTTCATGCTATGAAATTTGGAAGACAACAACCTAGCCAACTGACTGAAAGAGATGGATATTTGTGCCTGTTTTGAAGAAAAATGGCAATTATTGAACATTATTATTAATATCACATGTATGTAAAACTTTGGTGAACATAATTCAAAAACAGTTGCAGCAGTACATTGACAGGGAACTCTATAAATGCAAGCTGGAAACACAAGAGGACATGCAATGAGGGATGTCATTGCTGACATTAGATGGAGCTTAGCTAAAAACAAAGAGTACCAGAAAGATGTTTACCTGTGTTTTATTGACTATGCAAAGGCATTTGACTGTGTGGATCATAACAATTATAGACAACATTGTGAAGCATCAGAATCGTAGAACACTTAATGGTGCTTGTGAGGAACTTGTACACAAATAAAGAGGCTGTCATTCAAACAAAACAACTGGATACTGCTTGGTTTAAAATCAGGAAAGTGTGTATCAGGGTTGTATCTTTTTACCATACTTAATCCATCTGTATGTTTAGCAAATAATTTGAGATGCTGGACTATATGAAGAAGAATGCAGCATCAGGATTGGAGGAAGACTCAGTATCAGTCTGCAATGTGCAGATGACACAATCATATTTGCTGAAGGTAAAGATGTCTTAGAGCATTTACTGCTGAAGATCAAAGACTACAGTCTTCAGTGTGGATCACATCTCAGCATGAAGAAGACAAAATCATCACAACTAGACCAATAAATAACATCACAATAAATGGAGAAAAGATTGAAGTTGTCAAGGATATCATTTTACTTGAATCCACAATCAACAGGCATGGAAGCAGCAGTCAAGAAATCAGAAGCCATATTGCTGCACTGGGCAAACCTGTTGCAAAAGACCTCTTTAGGTGTTAAGGAGCAAAGATGTCACTTTGAAGACTAAGTGCACCTAGCCCAAACCATGGTATTTTCAATTGCCTCACACAATTGAAATATGTGAAAGCTGGACAATGAATAAGGAAGACTGAAGAAGAGTTGATGCCTTTGAATTGTGATGTTGGTGAGAAATACTGAAAATACTAAGGACTGCCAGAAAAACAAACAAATCTGTCCTGGAAGAAGTGCATCCAGAATGTTCCTCGGAAGCAAGAATGGCCAGACTTCATTTCATCTACTGGTCATGCTGTCAAAAGTGACCAGTCCCTGAGGAGAGCTATCTTGCTTAGTAAAGTAGAGGGTCAATGCAAAAGTGGAAGACCCTCCACAAGATGGATTTGCAAGGTGGCTACCACAATGGGCCATTGCAAGGACTGTGAGGATAGCTCAGGACTGAGCACTATTTCGTCTGTTGCGCATGGGGTCACTATGTATCAGGGCTGACTCAATGGCAACTAACAGCAACAAGATGCTCCTTTTGTCATTCAGTGGTTCCATTAAAATAATAATTAAATGCAATAATTATCTCAGAAATTGTGCTAAAACATGT